TGTTTAATCTTGCCTCTCGTTACAGTCCTTGTGTGGATCACCCCAGGTGCCTCTTGTCTGCTCCCTCGTCAGTGATATATATAGTGCCTCCCTGTCTCAAGCTCCCCAGTCCAGTCATTGATGTTGCTGCCTGTGCGTGCTCTCCAGTGTGCCCTCGCCATATACTAGGGTCAGAAGGCTTTGTTTGGTCATTTATATATGCCCCAGAAATATGTTTAAAGCTTATTTATACTTTGAAAGAAAGAGTTAGAGTTAAACTTCAGCCATATTCTCAGCTCCATTGATATGGTTTTGAATAATGTATTAAGTAACGTTACTGGAAACTTTATAATATGATATACTGCTTAGATTTACTCCCCTTTGTCTTAGTATAAACATTGAACCCCAATAAAAAAGAAAGCTGAGAATAATATATAAACCTTCCAGTTAGAGGCGTGAAGCAAAAACCTTGCACTTTGTTCACTGGCAAAGAATAACTTTGGAACTTTTGTCAGAAGTTCAGTATTTCCTCCAAAGTAAAGTCATTTCACAAGAGGGATTTTGGCCTTTCTCTCTGCTGTGTTGCTGGAGATCTATTTATATTAGCATGACTGTGGGATAAGATTATTTTTACTGGTTAATGAAAACATTTGCATGCCAAGGTCACTTAAATTCTGCTGCTGGATGAGGACAGCAGGGTGCGGGAGATACTTCTGTGCTGTTACAGGTACTCTTCTTCCTCAGAGTAAGCAAGCAGCCACAACAAACCTGACTCTGCCCTGGGCAACCTTCATTTTCCACCTTGACACTAACAGTAGGAAAGCAACCTCTCATGGTCTAGTGATGCAGCAGCCAGACTCCCTGTCAATATCGCACTGAGAAGGGATCAGTCCTCCTGTAACCTCCAAGCTCTAATGAATGCGGAAATGTTTATTGCCTCTTGCTGGTGTCTGTGTTAACCCATGCTGGATATTTACTTTATGAATATCCTAAATAAAAAGCAAAGACAGAACAGAAATGAGAATTAATTTTCGTTGCGAGCCATACTCATTTTACGGGACTTTTCATGCTAATGGCACCATCAACACATCAACCAGAAATACTGCGATTTGTCATATTTTTTTTAGGCATGGTATTATATCTAAAACTTAACATCTGAACTTGAAAATGAATATAGCTCTAAAATATGGCATGGAAATGAAAGCTATTAATACATTTCTTGGATGTAATTATACAAGGTTAATATTTGTAGATCTGTCGATTGGCATTCACGAGAGAGAATTTTAATGACATTAGTTTGCAGTTTCTATGCTCCTATATGACAGCTGATATTGTCTTAGTGGCCTAAATGTTAATATGAATGTCAGTGTTTTACCAGAGTTGACCTATAAAAATGTAAATAGAATTTGGTAGTTATAATATTCACTTTGTGCATTCATCAAAATCAAAGAAAAATAAGTCATATTTGCATTATTAAGAGAACTTTGACCCAAACATTAATATGTGGTTTATTTTCAAACTATGCTTCATATAAATGGCTGTAAAACTAGCTGTAAGTTCACAAACTCAGGGAAAGGGTTTGAACCAAGCCCTGGAAGTGTGAGGCTGTAGTGCTACCCATAATCCGCTGCACCACTTTAGTAATTATCAGTATCGTTTAGGATCCTCATTTTGGACCATCAGAGGCTTTTCCAGTTATTCTGTGAATGAAGCTTAGCTTTTCAACATCCCAGGAGAACCATATGATGCTACCCACTGCCTAACACACATGTTCCAAACAACAAAAAGCCCATAAATAAACTGGCACAGCAGCAAGTAATATGCAGACAAAAAAAAATCAAATTACATATCTGTGGTGCTTTTTTCCCGAAGCAGCAGTCCACCTTGTGGGCATCCACACAGAAATACTCCCCTGTTGGTGATTAGAGTACTTCTTGATCACAGGCAAGAGCAAATTAATTTCATTGTGCATGCTCTCAAGCCGATCTATATATTATTTTGGAAAATAATCAAGCAGTTCCATTAGAATATTGCCTTATTATAAATGATAATGCTACCAATCTGTATAACATTGCCCTGTTTGTTGGTTTGTGGGGGTGGTGTGTGGCCCAGTGGGCTAAGCCTCTTTATGCTTGTGAGTAGAAGGTTGTTGGTTCAATCCCCTGCTTCAGCAGAATAGTCACGTTACATATATTTTTAGCTACCGACTCTGGTGACTGTTATTCTTGTGCTTTTAGATCTACCTGCTGCCTTTGCCACAGTGGATCATGATGTTTTACTCTCTCGTTTGGAATAGTGGGTGGGTGTAAAGGGCATAGCACTGAATTGGTTCGGATCCTACTTTGCAGACCGAACTCTGTGTTGGTCCTCCTGTGCTCCTCTCTCCTGTGGGGTCCCACAGGGCTCAGTTTTAGGCCCACTTCTCTCTTTATTTGCTTCCGCTGGGTTCCATACTTAGGAAGCATGGCATCTCCTTCCACTGTTACGCGGACGATACTCAGATGTACCTCTTAAAAAGAAGGATGCGTACTCTGTTAGATCACTGCTTGGGTGTCTAGACAATATAAAGGCCTGGATGGCTATTACTTTTTTAAAATTCAATGACAGTAAGACAGAAGTGCTGGTTTTTGGTAGCTCCACTCTGACCCCCACTGTAAATTTAGGTTCCTTGGAACAATATCGTAAACCAGTCATCACAAACCTATGGGTTAAAGTGGACACCGACCTTAAGTTTGACACTCAGATAAGGACAGTTGTCAAGTCAAGGTTTTTACAATTGAGGCAGCTGGCCAAAATAAAGCCAATTCTTTCTAGGCATCACTTTGACACTAACCCACTCATTTGTAACTACTCGTTTGGACTACTATAACGACCTCTATGTTGGGGTTAGCGGCTATTCTATTGCTCACCTCCAGAAGGTTCAAAATGCTGCTGCACCACTTTTAACTGGCACATGGAAATATGAGCATGTTTCCCCCATATTAGCCTCACTCCACTGGCTGCCCGAACATTTTAGGATTCTGTTATTTGCTTTAAAAGCCCTCAGTGGTCTTGCCCCGCCCTACCTCTCTGAGCTGCTTCACCCTTACACCCTCACACGTGCTCTCAGGTCAGCTGATCAGCTGCTCCTGAGGATTCTTAAGACTCAGCGTAAGCTTGGAGGGGATCGAGCTTTTGCAGTTCCTATGTGGAATGACCTGCCTTTTCACATTACAGAGGCCTCTTCTCTGTCCGTTTTTAAATCTTTTCTTAAAACTCATCTCTTCTGCTTGGCCTTTGACACTTTGTGAGACGTTAATAGTACATTTTATCTTAATCTTAGCCTTTTCTTTATTAATTTATTTTATTGACGGCCTGTTACTCACATTTGATTCGGATTTTATTTAACTTATTTTATTTCATTTGCATTTTTAAGTGTGTGAATGTTTTAATGTCTTTTTACTTATTATGCAACTTTTCTCTTTTATTTACTCCTCCTGTGCAGCAATTAAGGTCAATAAGGTTGTTTAAAGTGCTTTACAAATAAAGGTGGATTTGATTGGATGTCTCTGGGTCCCTGATCATGTCCCCTAACCCCCAGCTCCAGGGCTGCTGCACACTGGCTGACCCTGTGCTGTGACCCCCCCAAGCCGGCTCTCACCTATCTGTGCCTTATGGAGAGTAGGCTGGGGTAGGTGCAAAGAGAATTTCCCTATGGGGATTAATACGGTGTCACTTTTTTTATTATGACTGTGGAATTCAAATAGAAAAATTTCCATTTTACATATTCTGGGAAAGTCAAACTGTACTCACTATGCATTTACATGGTGTCTAGATAAGCAGGAAAAAAAAAACTTCCTCAAAAGATATAATCCTATATAGTTATTTTGTCTGGACAGTGTGTATTTTAGAATATATTGCATTGGATGTATTGTAAAGCATCCATCCATCTTTCATACATTCATACCTCTTATCTTACAGTCAGAAGGCAGAGGAACATCCTGGAACAAAGGTCTGTCAAAACGAAGTGATAAAAACTGTAAAAGCCAGTTACGTTTTTAAAAATACTGATATGTTAATATAATGTCACTTAAGTATAATATTTTAATGACAGAGAGATAAACGTGACACTGAAAATGACCAAATTGCAAGGTCTTAATAGAAAAAAGCACTAAGCACCGTAATTTAATGTGTCTTGTTTGTTGTGGGGTCAGTAAAATTCATCGACACTAATAGGGTCACATTAAGAGCCATGTGAATTATTCACATATTAAGGCCAGTGGTTTTCACATAAGAAACAGAAAAATCATTTGTATGTGTTTTTATTTTAAAAAATTATCCTTTACTCTAGATACATATGAATACAATAAATTAATTTATGTACGTTATGTATACAACAAATAGCAATTGTTTTAAAGGAATACAGTGTTGAAACTACAAAACACATTAATTTGATACTTTTATAAGCCAATTTATACATAAGACATGATACTTGAATTTGAAAGTATGATGCCATCTATACAGATTACTTCAACAACCAAGCTATAAAATTGGGTTACATGCAAATTACACAGATGACTGTAAATGTAAACTGGGAAAAAAACTGTTTAAAATAGTAAAAAAATTGGACTGTAAGTAATTGGACAGTAATTACTTCTGATAGAAACTATAACCTGTAAACTGCAGCAATATTTTCACACCATATTGTACCCATCCCTGCTTCTCAAAAAAAACCCAGATTTATCCCTGAAAGTGTATAGCTGGGAACTAACAGATGCACATATTTCATGTTACATGTGTCCCCACAGTGTAATTCATGTCCCCACAATGTGATAACCTGTTAATTTGAGCTTATTGGGATATTTTTCCGGTCCCACAAGGGGAAGCTCAACATTATAAAAACTTATGGCTGCAATCAAAAAACTGAAATAAGCAAAAGTTTTGTATTCTGTTTAGTTACTTATGGTTAAGCTTAGGGCTGGGTAGGGGTTAAGGTCATCATTGCTGGCAATAGGGATTTGCCCAAAAAAATGAATGGATGGTCCTCATGTGTGTGTGTGTGTGTGTGTGTGTGTGTGTGTGTGTGTGTGTGTGTGTGTGTGTGTGTATCCATCCATTTTCTGAAACCACTTCTCCTATCAAGGGTTGCGAGGGGTCCAGAGCCTAGTATGAGTGTATATCCAGTATAAACATATGTATATATAATATACATTCAGTACTTATTTGGGATTTTTGATTTAGATTTTGGACGTACAGGTTAACATTACTGTTCAATAAATGAGAATAAAGATTAATAATCCATGAGAGTACAGAGTTAAGCATCATAATGGCAATACTGCTGGTTTTTATTAGATAGTCATTAATCATTATTAGGTGCTTCTTATTTCTTGGTATATGTGAACAAATGGTACAGATGATCAGGAAAAGCATTTAGAAGATGGACGGATGGTATGGTGTGATTCACAGGTATAGTTTTGAACTTCCCTGCAGTTGACTCATGCAGTTAGAGCGGATTAGGGACAACAGATTAAATTGGTTTTCATGACATTGCACATAGCAAGAAGTGGACTGCTACACTGCTATACCTGCTATACCGCACAATTAATAATAAACATAACAAGAAGCTGCCATTAGCCACCAAACAGCAGCATAACTAACACATACTGTGTTATCATGACATTGTTATCTATTTATATATTTTTTTCATAGACATTGTCAGAAAGAAAGAGTACCAATTTGTACCTTTTCTTCTCACTGGGGTTGTACCCTCATAGGTCTGCCAGTTGTACCCTAGAGCTGAAAAACATCCCCACAACATTAATGTACCCTCAATGGATTCATCCGAGCCCTCTTCTGTACCTTTTAAGGTATATTTACCTACAGCTAAGGGTACAATTGGCAGAGCTTTGAGGGTACCGCCCCATTGACAAGCAAAGTAAGAAACGGATACTCTTTTTTATGATAATGTAGGCATTAATGCAGAGTGTGGTCAATATGAAAACACTCCCTTCATCTTTACACGGGTGCCTTTCCCTTGTGCACATGTGTATGTGGTGGTAGACAGAGCCATTAACCACAAAAACAGGACAGCAGGTCGGAAATAACTGCAGTAATTTTGCATTTCATGGCTTCTCCCACTGAGCCAGCGATGAGCACCATGCGTCTCGTCTAATGATGTTAGTCACATTGTGCTTCCATTTCAGAAAGGCCACTTCCTCATCAGGCTCTATCCCCTGTCACTTGGGACCCCATCTCATGTCATGGCGTTAGTATATGGCACAGATAATCACCGGCTGCAACCTGCCTGACATCCGAGACATCTACGGTGCCTCGAGAAGGCCGGGTCCAACCTCAAGGACCCTAGCCGTCCCAACCACAAACCCCGTTCAGTCCTATTGTATCGGAGCGTGGAGCCACAGACTCCACAACAGTTTCTACCCTCAGGCAGTGAGGCTACTTAATATCTGTTCTGCCCATTAATATTGAGAATTTGCACATTCCATTTATTTGTTGCAAATATTTTTTGCTATTTATTTTACAATTGTATTTATTAATTTTTCTTATATATTACTATCATTTACTGTAGGCATCTCTCAGGGAACCTCACTTCATTGCCTGCACCTACCGCCATTTGCTGTACTGTTGTGCATTTCATAAATAAATTTTGATCTAATTTGACGTGATATGTGAGCTACGTCATTGGCTAAAGGGTGCTGGTCTGTGTGTAGATCATCGATACGCTGTGCGACGTCTCCTTTACCCCCAGCTGCTGCCATTTCAGCTGCAGGCAAAGCTTGAGACGCTCCTGGAAAGCGGCTGTGGTGATGGTGTAGAGAATGGGGTTAAGGGCACTGTTGATGGGCAGGATGAAAATCACTACCCACAAGATGACTGTGCCTTGCAGGGACAGAAAAGCACAATCAGAACAGCAACAACAACAACAATAATAATGGCAGGAAGAATATCACAGAACTTCATGAGCTTTGTTTTTGTTTAATTTCATGCAGTGTTTCTGAATAGTAGTTTAATTCATAATAATAATTACCAGCATCTTTTCTGGCATCTTAGATATTTGTGAAACATAATAGCATGTAAGAAATGCAGAATGGATTCATATTACAGTATTTCTAGTTAACAAATTTGCTTAGATAAAATATCAACTTTGTAGTATATCTGTACTACAAAAAATTCCTCAAATTCTCTAAAGTGCTATTTTTAAATTTACTTATTGCTTGCATATAATATGCATCTATGTGTGAGTATTTACAAGCCTTCAGAAGCACATAATCGTATTTCGTCTCAGTTCAATTTCACAATTACCTCTGATTTCCACTTGTAACAAAGAGAGAATTTTAAGAAGGAATATAGGCATCCAGCACAAAGCATCCGTAAACACTATAAAGAAGAACCTTTTCGCTATTGCGACTTCTTCGTCAAAGATCGTCTGCCGAGCAGTTTTGGATCCAGTTCTCCTTACTGAAAAAAACATGCTGGTGTAGGAGAATACTATAATAATGAAAGCAACGAGATTCAGGCCTGAAAGACAAAAAATAATTCAATTACACATTCATTATATATTTATCTTTAAGTGCAGAGTAACAATTCAGTATTTTTGACCTGATGTGTACCGAACAGCCAAAACATTAAAACCACCTGCCTAATATTGTGCAGGTCTCCCTGGTGGCATCAAAACAGCTTTGTCCCACTACAGCATGGACTCCACAAGACCTCTGAAGGTGTCCTGTTGTATCTGGCACCAAGACGTTAGCAGCAGATCCTTTAAGTCCCATAACTTGAAAATGGGCCCCTATAGATCAGGCTTGTTTGTCCAGCACATCCCACAGATACTTGATCAGATTGAGATCTGGGGAATTTGGAGGCCAAGTCAACACCTTGAGCTCTTTTTCATGTTCCTCAAACCATTCCTGAACTATTTTTGCAGTGTAGCAGGGTGGATTATCCTGCTGAAAGAAGCCACTGCCATTGTGGAATACTGTTGCCATGAAAGGGTGTACTTGGTCTGCAACAACGTGTAGGTAGGTGTTATATGTCAATGTAAGATACACATGAATGCCAGGACCCAAGGTTTCTCAGGAGAACATTGGCCAGAGCATCACACTGCCTTTTTCCCATAATGCATCTTTGTACCATCCCTCCCCCAGATAAATGGCATACATGCACTAGGCAGTGCACATACATGCACATTGTGGGCAGTGGTGGCTTGATGGTTAGGGTAGCGCACTTGTAATTGAAAGATTGCAGGTTCGAATCCCCCACCAGCAAGTCACCACTGAGGTACCCTGAGCAAGGTACCGTCCCCAATCACTGCTCCCCGGGCGCTAAATTAGCTGCCCCCTGCTATGTCACGAAAGTCACATATGGGTCAAATGCAGCGGACACATTTCGTTGTTGCGCACTGTGTACTGTGGTGTGTTGACAATGACCACTGATCACTAAATTCTAATTCTAATAATGTAACAGAAAATGTGACTCATCAGACCAGGCCACCTTCTTCTATTGCTCCATTCAGATCTGATGCTCAAGTGCCCTTTTGTAGGTACTTTCAGCAGTGGATGGGGCTCAGCATGGGCAGTCTGACCAGCCTATGCCTACGTAGCCCCATACGCAGCAAGCTGCGATACACTGTGTGCACACCTTTCAGTCATAGCCAGCATTAACTTTTTCAGCAGATTGTGCTATAGTAGCTCTCCTGTGGGATCAGACCAGAGAGGCCAGCCTTCACTCCCCACGCACATCAGTGAGTACTGGGCACCCGTAACCCCATCAGCGGTTCACCGGATGGCCTTCCCTGGACGGCTTTCAGTAGGTAATGGTCACTGCCTACCAGGAAGACCCTACCAAAGCTGCCGTTTTGAAGATGCTCTGACTCAGTCGCCTTGCCACCACAATTAGGCCCTTGTCATATGGCTGTACATGTTTTGTGCTTCCAGTACATCAGCTTCAAGAAGTGACAGTTCACTTGCCTCATGTATAATGGCACCCTTGACAGGTGCCATTGCAACAAGATAATCAATGTTATTAACTTCACCTGTCAGTGGTTTTAATATTATGGCTGATCGGTGTAGAATGCATAATGTATATTCAGTCAGTTTTGAAGTACATGTTTGTGTTAAATTGACCTTCAGTCAAAAACATGACTTGAGGTCTGTGATACTTTTGTGTGAGGTAGTTCAATTTCATTTTGGACAATATGAATACTAAGTGCAATTCAGGTATAAATCTAAGACAGCTAGTGGAAAAGGGAATATAGTGTTGTAACATTCTGATTCCGACTTACCCAAGAATATTCCAGTGGAGTATGTCCTTGCCCCTGGCTTCTCTGTCAGGTCAGAGTGGAGAGGGAAGCAGACTCCATTTCTGCCATAATAGTTACCGAACGTCTGCCTGTCCCAGAACGGGACGACGGCTATCATAAAGCCAAGGGCCCAGATAGTGATGAGGATTGAGAGAGTCTGCTTCCTCCCGGCCCGGTAGTTGTGGAAGGGGAACACGATGCAGATGTACTTCTCGAGGGTCATGTACGTTAGCAGCATAACAGACACCTCGGTGGACAGCATGGCCAGGGAGCCGATGAGCTGACATTGTGTGCTTTCCATCCAGAACTGGGCGTTCCTGTTGTATTCCCCGCAGTACTTAATGTCAAAGGCGCCAATGAAGAACAGATAGACTCCCATCAAGCAATCTGCACCTGATGGACAAAGTCATATGAGAAAGATGTCAGTGTTGGAGGATTCATTCCCTTCAGTTTTCTCACTTTTAATCCTCCTTATCCACTTTGTTTCTATTCAGCTAGATGAATGGTCTTTTATTTTTCTGACTAAACAGTTAGCTTCACTAGGGTTTCGTTATACTTCATTAGCCTATACTCCATACTGGAATAAGTTATGAAATGGGTAGGTGTACCTCGAGCTACGTTTACTCACAGCAGAGTGACTTGATGGACATGGTATGGTGGTGGTCGTTAGATGTGATGCAGGAACGCAGGCATATAACGAAGACGTTGCCGAAACAGATGATGAAAGCCACCACCCAGACGAAGACCCGCAGAATGATATTAGCCAGCAGATTTTCGAAGGAGGATATCCCGTCGGTATTGGGTTTGCAGCTCCTCACATTGGGGGAATAACCACAGTATTCAAACTTCTTAAAGTATCTATAGAGTACCATGGAAGGAAGGAAGGAAGTGAAAGAACATTGAAAACAAAGAACAGTAGATTGAACCAATCTCAAACAAACAACAACTTCAAAGTTTCCATTTTCCTGCTGCTTCTCCTGGTGAAGGTCCCGACAACAAGAGTAATTTAAAAAATCTATAATATTGGGTGTTAAATATAACTGTAGTATTACAAATACAATTTAATCTTTCTGATATTCTGGATACTGGTATTAGGCCCAAGTACTTACATATGAGAGAGGTTTCCAAGAGACCGAAACATTCTGATGCTGATGTTTGGGATCTCTATTCCCTCCATTCCCCTTGTGAAACAAATGTAATTACAATTGTGCATTATTTTAAT